TCAGAGTGGTATCATCTGCATATCTGAGGTTGTTGATATTTCTTCCGGCAATCTTTATTCTGGTTTGGGATTCCTCCAGTCCGGCCTTTCGCATGATGTATTGTGCATATAAGTTAAATAAGCAGAGGGACAATATACAGCCTTGTCATACTCCTTTCCCAACCCCTTCATGGATTGCTGCCTCGTCGTGGCAAAGGGGCTTAAGTAATTCCGAGAAGATACGGGCTATGCCATGCAGGGACACTCAAGACGGACGGGTCATAGTGGAGAGTTCCGACTAAACGTAATCTACCTGGAGTAGGAATTGACAATGCCACTCCGGTATCTTTGCCAAGAATACCCCATGGACAGAAACAAAAGGCTAAATTTAACCTATAGAGAGCCCTAAATGGCCTGGGACCAAGGGCCACGTCTCTCTTTATGACATCATTATGGAAGGCCTTTCTTTTGGTCCCATCACCTTCACTGATGTAATCAGTATTTCCTTTGTAATCAGATATATAGAGAGCCCTAAATGGCCTGGGTCCAGGGGCCACATCTCTCTGTATGACATCATAATGGGAGGCCTTTCTTTTGGTCCCATCACCCTCACTGATGTGTTTGGTTGGAACATGAGAGAGGGACTTCTCTGTCGCTCCTCCCAGACTCTGGAACTCCTCCCATGGGAGGCCAGGTTGGCCTCATCTTTGCTGTCCATCTTCATGTAGACTAAGAAAGACTCTTTAGGCAGGCTTTCCCTTAGTGATTGGCTATCTAAAAGGGGTTTTTAAACATGTTGTGCCTTGTTGCTTTTAAATGTTTTAAGTATTTTATTTACTGTTTTTAATACATTTGCTTCATTATTTTTACATATTTGTATATTTACTGTTTTTGGCTTTTATATATTGTCTTTTAATGATGTAGGCCATCTTGGGCCCTTTTTAAGGTGAAAGATGTCGTAGAATATTTTAGATAAATAAAAATAAATTAATTTGTCACTATTTTTCCTATATTTGTGGCAGATAAGAAACGGTAATTGTGCTACCTTCTCAATATGGTTTTAATTACACATCTTCAGGAAAGTGAACATTCCTTGGCATGGGCAGTATGTTTGGGAGAGGTTTAAATTTCCTTGAAACACAAGCAATGAGATTAACTTGGACTAAATGACATTAATTTAGTTTATCCTGTAGTATGCTTCTTGGTACATATGTTTCCTAATTTTTTCATTCCTTACAAAGCGTTTGAGAAATTATTGCCTGTGGAAGTTCATACCCTGTTAACATATTTGTCTTGAACTCTAAACATGTCTCCCAATACTTTTTTTAAAATTTGCTTTTGTTGTCCCCCCCTCCCCCCGAAGCAGCAAAGCTTAAAACCTCCTGTGTTGGTTGTAGATGTATGGTTGGAGTTGACAGCTTTCAGTCAGCACTAGGCCAGGTGAACAGCTTTTGGTTTCTTCCCTTTCCTTGTATTGAAGAACTCTTTGGAGGGAGTCATACCTGTTAGCAAATTATTGTTTAGCTAATTTTAAGCCACTGTAAGAGACTGTACTTTACTAATCAATTTTTTTAAAAGAAAGGAGAATCAGTATTTCCTTTGTAATCAGATATATGAACTAGCTAAATGTGTGCTACTTCAACTTAACAAAACAGAAGAATTCATTTCACTGGATTGCAGATTTTAACCATGGTAGCAAAGTAGTATGCAAAGTATTTGTTATTCTATAGGTACTTGAAATATTTATTTTAAAAGAACATTGCAATTTTTTTATTTTATTGCAGTGTTCAGAGCCACAAAAGCTGTTTAACATTGCAAATGAACTTCTACATACAGAAGAAGCATACGTTGGAAGGCTTCATCTTCTAGATCAAGTAAGTTTATGTGAAAAATATCATTGTCGTATTTGCATTCTGTTTTATTCCGAAGTCTTTTTACTCATTCATCTTATGACCTGTTTCCCATAACAGTTTCCATCACTCTTCCAGTAGTTGCCTTTCTAAAGAGAATGCATGCATTTACAGTAAGCCTTTCTGATGTCTCAGTCTCTGTGTGATGACCAAGCTGGACATACCCATCGCCCAGTCAATCCTCCTAGTGGGTACACTGCTACAACCAATACATGTAGTTGAACTGTGACCCCTTCCAGCATTGACCAGCACCTGTCACTGCGTGAACAAGTAGTCAGTGGTTCACCAAACTACAGCAGTAGTTGGCTAGCATATACCGTATTTTTCGCTCCATAAGACGCACCAATTTTTTAGGAGAAGAAAACAGGAAAATATAATCTGTTTTCTTTGCTCCATAAGACGCACAGACTTTCCACCCCCCTGTTTTGTGGGGAAAAAGTGTGTCTTATGGTGCAAAAAATACGGTACTTCTTTCAAGGAAAGCTGAACATATAATTTCTGAAAATACTCACAACATGAATTCTGTAGGGGAAAATGTCCTCTCTTTTCCTGACAGTTGGAGAATGTGTGTATATTCCAGCATATATTCTCAGACTATATGCAAGGTATTACTGGTGATCTTTGAGCAAGATGCAGCAGGCTTTTATCTCAGACAAGATAGCCACAGCAAAGTCTTTGTTGTGGCAAAAACAAACCAAAGTGTCTTTGTTCTTGCAGTAGGGCAGATGCCCACAAATTAATAGACTGAGTTCCCTTTCTTTTCACTTCCATGGAGAGTTTCTTATGGCCTTCCCATCCCCTTTCCCATTTCATTAGTGACCAAACTGTTATGTTTCCTAATCCATATGGAACCACCTTAGCCCAGCAAACATCATGTCCAATTGCAAATATATCATCAGCAGCAGCACCATCACCATGATCTTAGAACTGCAGGTCTGGATTCTGTGTATCATCGCATCCAGCCTCTGTCAAAGAAGAACAGTAGAATCACAATCTCTGGCTCTGCAGTCAGATGATCATTTATAGTATCGCAAAATCAATACCTACATTCCAGTCTTGGAATGTGCTTTACAGTGAAAGACATTTCCTTGCATATAGTAGATCTTCCCTTCCAGCTCTGTAATTCAAGAGATTATCAGCAGCAGAGCTGCAACTTGCAGTACAAGAGATGCTTCAAATTTTGCTTCTCCTCTTCTGAGAAAGTATCTATTTTTTGTAGCTTATTTGAATATTAACTCTGCCATGTGGCTTTCATTACTTCAGTTGACAGCTGTATTGCTTTCATTTTTTTTCAGCTGTCTTAGTTAGGAAATGGGAGAACCAAAGCATCCAGCACAGATAATTTAGACATGAATTGCATAATGAGCCACAGAGTATTAAAATTGTTCAAACATGTGTTAAGTTTAGATAGTACCTTCTAACTTTAGCTCCATTTCTGCTGTTGCTTTCCTAATATTATAATGAAGGTGGAATAAAGTTTTCTGAACTTGAGAAGAATTAGTAAAAGGTAAAGGTAAAGGTTCCCCTTGACAATATTTGTCCAGTCGTGTTCGACTCTAGGGGATGGTGCTCATCCCCGTTTCCAAGCCATAGAGCCAGCGTTTTGTCTGAAGACAATCTTCCGTGATCACATGGCCAGTGCGACTTAGACACGGAATGCTGTTACCTTCCCACTGAGGTGGTCCCTATTTATCTACTTGCATTTGCATGCTTTCAAACTGCTAGGTTGGCAGGAGCTGGGACAAGCAACGGGGGCTCACTCCATCACATGGATTCAATCTTACGACTGCTGGTCTTCTGACCCTGCAGCACAGGCTTCTGTGGTTTAGCTCGCAGCACCACCACGTCCCATAAGAGAAGAATTATATAACTTTAAAAGCTGACAGTGAAGAAATGGAAATTGTTGAAAATATTCTATATTTTGGTTCAGTCAAGAAGAATGCCAATCAGAAAGGCAGCTATGAAAAGATCCTCAAGTACAAGGATGTGTTACTAAGGCTTCTGGCCAAGATCATCTATGCAATGGTATTCTCAATTGCTATGAATGTGAAAGCTAGACAGTGGGGGGAAATGGCAAGAAAAACCAAATTATTTGAAACATTTTGTAGGATTGTTTACATATACCATGGACTTCCAGAAATTAAAATAAGTGATGCTAGATCAGTTTAGTTGACTGGACAGTTCATCAAGCCTCAACTCTCTCTGGAATGAAAGATTACTAAACTAAAGCCATTATACTGTGACATAATGAGAAGGCAAATTCACTGGGAAAGACTGTAATGCTGGGAAAAACTGAAGGAAGTGGGAAAAGAGGAAGACTGAATAAAGAGATGGATTGACTTAGGAAAGGAGGCCAGAGACTTCCATTTGAAAGACACGAACAAGGTTGTTAATGACAGGACACTCTAAAGCAGTGGTGTCGAACTGTGGCCCTCCAGATGTTCTTGGCCTTCAACTCCCAGAAATCCTGGCCAGCAGAGGTGGTGCTGGCCAGCAGAGGTGGTGCTGAAGGCTTCTGGGAGTTGAAGGCCAAGAACATCTGGAGGGCCACAGTTCGACACCACTGCTCTAAAGCACTGTTTCCCAACCTTTCATATCCAGACATTCTTAGACTATAATTTCCAGAAATCCTAGCCAGCACAGCTAGTGGTGAAGGCTTCTGAGAGTTTTAGTCCAAGAACATCTGGGTACCCAAGACCAAGAACCAGGGCTCTAAAGGGTTGGTGTAATTCATAGCATTGCTGTAAGTCTGAAGTGACTTGACAGTAGGGAGAGAGACTTTTGGATTTTTTTGGACTCTGGTGCTTCCTTGGATTTTCAAAGATTCCTGGGAAGGGTGGTTTCATTACTCATTATACTCTATAAAGTGCTCTTTGCTCTTTTGAAAGAGCACTTTATAGAGTATAATGAGTAACCCTTCGGAGGAAGCACTAGGGAACAGCAGCAGCAGCAAAATTATGCCAAAGGGGGCACCTATGGGAGTACGAAAGCTGGTCTGTGTACTCCTGTTTTGGGGCTGCATCTCCTAGAATTCTGCTTGGGGAATTCCTGCAGGATTCTGGAACTTGGTACCCCAAAAATCCAAAAGTCCCACTCTGCTTGACAGCACAGAACAGTAGACTATAACAGGGAACAATTAAGAATCATGATCATTAGACCACTGGGTTGAATTTACATATTTATAACATAGTTACCACAATGTCAGGGAGTGACTTGCATGTTTTAAACAGTTGCCACTTGTTAAATTCTACTGAACATGTTAACATCACATGACCTCCAATGAAATGCAATAATTTTCAGTAGCTTTTAGTCACATGCTTAGTTGTGAATCCAATTGAATTTATAAGAGTTTTTCTTCAATCTGACTAGATAGGTTCCTCTGCAAAATCCTCCATCTGCAATTAATCAGACAGTCTTCAAACTGTAGAGCCTATCGATTAATGTTTATTAATAGCATGGATGGGTTTTGGATGGCTTATGGTGACTGGTAAAAATTACTAAGAAAATGATCTGATGATCCTTGAGTCCTCTAAAAGAACCTTAATGGGAAGACGTCAGCTTTGATAAAACATAAAGAAAAAGAATCATGGAATATCACATGATGGATGTACAAAATGTGTACATTTCCCCACCAAATTGCTTTGTTTTTAACTAAATATATCAGTAGAACTGATGATAACTACTTTGGACAGTTAATTTCTTCCTCCAACACTATTATCTGTCACAGCTGACTCAGATGTCTGTTGGCCTTTAACCAATTGTGCAATGTGTAGTATGGAAGCAAGAAGTTATCACTGATTCACATTGTTAGGGCATTTCTATTTAGCATACATCTGGGGTTTTTCCCACAGCAGAAAGTTATTAGAAAAGATATGTACTTGAACATATCTAGAAAATTCCATTGCTTTTGCAATTGAAATGCTCTGTTTCATCCCCATTAAACACTCTTGAGGAAAAGCAGACTTTAATATTGGCTTTCACCCTGGACAGCTAGCAAGTGGTTTTGAAATTAAACAGGTGTGATTAATTGCAAAATGATGTATTGCTGCATTTGATTGAGGAGCCCTTTTAATAAACTTTACATTTCTCTTGACTACGTCTTGAGGAAATATTCCAAAAATATCCTGTAGAAAACAGTGAGTCATCTGTCAGGCTCCAGCTACATTGCATTAGTATAACTCCTCGATTTTTGTGTCTGGTATTGGTTAGATTGTTTTGTGTCTGTTTTGATGCAGGTGTTTTGCACCAGATTGAATGAGGCGGGGATTCCATCTGAAGTGATAACAGGAATATTTTCAAACATTTCTTCCATTTATCGCTTCCATGAACAGTTTCTCCTGCCTGAGCTCAAGACAAGGATTATGGAAGAGTGGTGGGTAAACAAAGGATTAAAAACATGGTCGTTGTGGGGTTTTCGGGCTGTTCGGCTGTGTTCTGGAGGTTTTTCTTCCTGACGTTTCTCCAGTCTCTGTGGCCGGCATCTTCAGAGGACTGGAGTTGGAACTCTGTGCTAAGAACTTTATACTATTCCTAATAAGTGTTGTTATATCCGTTTCCAAAGAAGTAGCTGTGTTAGTCTGTCTTGGAGTGCTGGCAAAAGTAAAAGGGGTGAGGGGAGGCAAACTGTTACAGCATTTTCAAGGTTATCAGATTTATTTCAGTATGGGCTTTTGCAGGTCAAAATCCATGTCTTCATACACAAGGAGTGCAAAACATATGCTCCATATGTTCATTCTCTAGTGATAAGATTCATGTCCAGGTCAGGATGCAGATAATAGAGACAGTGGGAGTGGTTCATTAACAAAGAAATGGGGCTATCAAGCTAGAGAATTTCTTCCCCGAGCTTCAGTAACTTTCATCCTTCCATCATCCTAAGCTGCACAACAAGTGGACAAAATGAGCTCTCACAGACATTACTGAACATCTCACAGACATCCCAGCATTTCTCAATATTGGCTGTGTTGGTTAAATTTTAATGGGAGTTGCAATCCATCAACATCTGGAAGGCCACACATGCCCACCCTGGCTTATTCAGTGGGAAGTATCGAGTCTTTGAAAATGTATAATCAGGGTGGGATAGGTAAAGACACATTCTGTATTTTAGTTATTGAAAAGCTTACACATCTACTATTAACAACAATATCATTTAAAAAGACAGCTTTGATCAAAGTTAATCTTCAAAGGCTTCTAAGGAAACATAGTAGTTTGGGATAAATCTGTGGCCCCAGCCAAAACCAAGATCTGGCCCTTGGACTTGAAAAATTGTGTATCCTTGGGAGTGGCAATGCCTAATTAAAAGACATGAGGAAGAGAAGGCTATGTAAGTGGATAATTTTCAAAATCAAGAGAGGGTTTTCACAATGAACCGAACATTTTTAATGTTCCCCAAAAAATTCATTGTTATTTAACTTGTTAATAAATGACCTGAACAGTTTGGATGAATAATGTGCTAGCTGAGGACAGCTGACACCAAATTTGTTGGAATTGTGAAATTTGAAACAGATTACAAATGCATCAGGGGATTTGAAAGAGAACAAATTAAGGAAGAATATGTTTAACAGTCTCTCCTCATGCTTTTTTATGATACTACCTGAAGAAAGTGGTCCTATTCAGAGCTGATTCATTTATAGTTCCCTATCAATTTAAGTTTTTTCGTTTCCATGCTCTTCAATTTTGTTTGTTTGTTCTACAGGAATACAAATCCAAGGCTAGGGGATATCCTTCAGAAACTTGCTCCATTTCTAAAGATGTATGGAGAATATGTAAAGAATTTTGACAGAGCAATGGATTTGGTGAACACATGGATGCAGAGGTCATCTCCTTTTAAGGATATCATTCAGAATGTACAGGTATGCTTAATCGGTTATAAAATCCTTTCCATGTATTGTTGGGCCATAATATGGCCCTATCCCTTCCCAGAAAGCCACAAATTTAAACAATAGGATTAAAGGCAAATAAAGCAGAGTTGAAAACTCTGGTTGAAAATTAGAAAGCATTAAAACTCAGGTGGAGAAATGTCAGATGTTCAAGCTGGATTCAAAAAGGAAGAGACATCAGAGATCATATTGCAAATATATGTTGGCTATTGGATCATGCAAAAAAAAAATCAGAAGAAAATCAGTTTGTGCTTTGTTAAAATAATGTTTCTACTTTAGCATGCCATTGCGCTGATTAATGCTTTGTAGCTTAATTAACTTGCCAGTAGTTGGGATTCTATTTTGTTTTGTGAGAAATATGATATAAGTTATTTCTGTTTTATTTGTTCTAGGGGACAAGAAAGGAATGTCAAGTGGGTAGGAATTTAGAGGAGGACTACTATAGCCTAAAATTTACCTAGATTAAAATTACAGAAGCTATCTGTAACTGTAAGCTTTATGTCAGTGTGACATATTACACTGAATATATCTTCCTTCCCATGTTTTATTTTATGAATTTTAGAGAGCTAGACATCCTTTACCCAAATGCATTCACCTTCTTTGAACATCTATCTGCCATTGTAACCAATTTTTAGTGATTTTTTTAAAAAAAACAGCAGTTCTAGTTTAGCAAATGGTTTGTGCGTGTGGATATAGAAAAATATCAGGCAGAATGTTTTCCCCCTTTATTACAGAAACAAGAAATATGTGGGAATCTGACATTACAGCATCACATGCTGGAACCTGTGCAGAGAATTCCACGCTATGAACTTCTCCTGAAGGATTATCTTAAAAAACTTCCTGGAGAGTCTCCAGACAGGAAAGATGCTGAAAGTATGTACAGTTTTAATTTACATTGTCAGGAATAACCAGATTTTTCTATAAAGTTTCATTCAGAGATTGGGAAGTATGTTTTTTGTTTTAAGGCCTTTAAGAAATCCAGGTTTCTCTTTTCCATCAAAATGTATCCATGGTGGAGCAGGGAGTTGCCTCATGCTATTGATCAGTTTGGACTTGTAAAACCAAGGGTGGGATTTTGTAAGTTATTTTGCAGAATATATATCATATCACTGTGATTGTGCTTGCATCTGTATTGTATTATTTGTGTCCCAGTAGACTCTAATGCCAGTTGGTTGAACTTGGCATACCGACACAGAGCGTTTTCCGATGATTCAGAATCCCACAGAGCTTTCTAATCCAATTTTCATGACAGAAGTCAAAGATTCTCTTTCAGAATGATTATGATTTTACACTTACCTTAGAGACGAAAGTAGATGTGTGAGGCAAATTTGAATACCCAGAAGATTTCCTTGGAAGTAGTGAAGTTAAGGAGTATGAAAACAGAGAGAAAATAGTGAATACAGGGCTGTGCCTGAGCATAATAACTGGTTGTGTGTAACATGCTCTTTAGGTCTGAACCATTTTCTGAACTTTGAGACTGAAATCTGTACAAAATATTTTTCACCTCAAAATAGTTGTCCATTCCGTGCTACCTATCTAATTGTTTGTAATTAAAAATAAATACCCAACTCAGTAGTATATTAAATGGAACATTTTTGTATGTACACTTGACCCTGAGAAGCCCAGAAGTAGGATGCAATGATCTGTTTGTGTGTAGCAGCAATTTAGGAATCACGCTGTATATGCCAGGAAATAAATGTTCACTCTTAACTGATAACAATCCTAAGAATCTCTAACTGCTCCTGCCTGTCTTGCAGAATCACTGGAGCTCATTTCCACAGCAGCAAACCATTCAAATGCAGCCATCCGAAAGATGGTGAGTAGAAAATGTGTAAAAACATCATCATTTGCACCATTAACTGAGATGCTCATTTGAATCGGTGATTTCCTCATTACCACAGTGAGCCTTAATGATGGTTTTCGTACTGATTGAAACTTTCTTGTATAGATATAACTCAGGCATAAATCAGTACCTTTCTACATATGAGTGTATGTGTTGGGGGAGATGACATTTTGCTCGCTCTTGCCTGCCAGTTACCAGCGATTTATGTGGCAAGTCGTGAAATGTTCTTCTTTGATTGAGTTACATTTCCTTTCCTGTATATTCTAAATGTGCCAATTATTGCAATAGTCAACCATCATTCTGGTAAATTAGCAGCATGATCATATATACGTATGCGTTCAGTGAAAATATATCCCAGATTATTCAAAACAGTTTGGTTTGGTCGTGTTGAAAAGATGGATGGGATTAGACTTTAAACTCAGGTTCAGAAAAACGGCACACACGTTTAAGCTGCACTCACTACCTCTGGCATCAATGCAGACAGCATGTATGTCTCTTAACAGATCTGGTAACAGTCAATAGGAAATGACTGCTGACTGCAAAGTACTGTCCAGAGCGTTGTTTTTTTTAAATCAAGGAAGTGTCTGAAACGCAGAGCTTAGCTTCTTTGAAGGAGAATAGCTATAATGACATACTGAAGCCATTCATAATTAAGCATGTTGGTAGGATGATAGTCTGTGATCTAGAATGTCACTCTGCTCCAAAGCAACTGGCTGTTTTCAGCATCTCATTGCAATTATTATTTTTTTCAAAAGCAGCTTCTGAAGTTATTGTGATGATTTAGCTTCACTGGCTGAAAACCTGTCTGCAGAGTATCATCCGGTGGTAGCAATTTTCAGACTTTAAAGATTTCCTCTCCCTCAGTCCCACAGCCCCTAATTTAACCTTGCCATTTTGTCTTGCCAATCTAAATATTGGCTTCTTCCCGCAACTTGTGTCACTTCTGTTTTTGTAAGAAATTATTATAGACAGTGTATTAACTTAACACATCTTCCTCTGTCTGGGTGTTCTTTACAGGAAATGGTTGTGGCTTCTTCCTCTTTTCAGGTTCGCATTTCAGAGTTGTTTTTAATCATCCCTACTGAGACACCATGAGTCTCATTCCTCTTGTTTTTGTCGGGCTTCAGACATCAAGTGATACTGGAATGCTTCTAAGTGTAATTAGGAAATCTTATTTCAGAAGCTACCTGATTTTATATAAGGCTGAATTGTGTTAGCCTTTCTAGGTGAGTGAATGCCTGCCTTTGGACCCAGGTGGTTAGTTCTGGTTGAACTGCAAACTTTCCTAGAAGAAACACCACAGACATATGGCTTTTACTGAGAGTGAGATAGAGAGAGCATAATCCTGTTCATTTAATTCGATTTCTCAGTAGCCTTCAATATCATGGACAAATGATCTCCTCCTTAAATGCATGCATGGGTTGGGGATAGCAGGTGTAATATGCTGATCTTCTTTATACTTTTGGAACTAGATTGAGATAGTAGCTTGGCCCCCTACAGTTACACTGTATGGTGCTGCGGAATATTGTCCTGTTCTCAGTACCGCTTGGCATCTAAAGCTGTTGGGGGTGTTTAATCTGGGATTTGGTGCATGGTATTGTCAATATGAAGAGGCTGTGATGGCTCTGAAAGTTTGGAAACTGCAGCTGGTGCAAAATATATGGCTGAGGAAGCTTAGTAGGATATGCTGCCATGCCTTTACTACACCAGTGACAAAGGAATTGCACTATAGTGTTTGTAGGTTTTGTTGTTGACCAGATCTGCCTGGGACTAGGTTGTTTAGAATAATGCCTCCTTCTGTATGAATCAGTCCTGTTCACTGAGGTTATCTGAGAAAGCTCTTCTGCCATATTTATTTATTTATTTATTTTATTTATATGCCGCCCACTCTACCCAAAGGTCTCTGGGCGGCTTACAACAATTAAAATTCAATGCAATAAAATAAAATGATTAAAATACAATTAAAATACGATTAAAATACAATTAAAATTGCCATCATTAAGACCCACAGTTAATGTTATTTCAATTAAAAGCCTTCTGGAACAGGAAGGTTTTGACCTGGCGCCGAAATATCATCAGTGTCGGCGCCAGGCGAATTTCAGTTGGGAGGGTGTTCCATAGTCTGGGGGCAGCTGCCGAGAAGGCCCTTTGTCTACAAGCCATCCCTCTTACCTCCTTGAGGGATGGCTCTTTCAAAAGGGCCCCCTGGCTAGATCTTAACAGCCGGGTAGGCTCATATGGAAGGAGGCGGTCCTTCAAGTATCCAGGGCCCAAGCCGTTGGAGACTTACAACTTAGAGTGACTTGGGAAAGGATCTTCTGTAGAGATGGGCATGCAATACTTTGTGCCCCTTCATAATAGGTCATCTGTGCAGCAGCACAGATGCTGTGCATTCCCTTCCCCCTCCTTTCCTCCATCTCATCTACTGACACTGCTCTGTACTTCCCCATTGCACAATCTTCTGGTCTGGGCAAGAGCCTGGACTTCCCTTCTCTGCCTCATTCAGCGGTTGGCCACTCAAAGGCAGCACTGCAGGAATCCTTGCTCCACCTCCTTGTCTGAGTGGGCAGCTGCTGGAGGAGGCAGAGAAGGGAAGTCTGAGCTCCTGTTTGGACTGGAAGATCACACGATGAGGAGGAATGGAGCAGCATGTGCTGGCAGGTCAGTGGGTGAGAGTGGCCAGTCGACCAGGGAGACAGCGGAGCTATTGCTGCAATTGGTGGGAAAACGGGATCTTCATGGTGCTAGGACACGACCGTGGATGGTCTGGTCCCAGGTGTCAGATCCACATTAGGTGCAGCTGGGGCAGTGATTTTTGTATTTGTTTACGAATATCCTCATCTCTAGCAAAGAGTAGTTGATTGTTCAATCTGCATTTCTTCTTCTGCTTGCAGGAAAAAATGCACAAGCTGTTAGAAGTGTATGAGCGGCTTGGGGGAGAAGAGGATATTGTTAATCCAGCCAATGAGTTGATTAAAGAGGGGCACATTCAGAAGCTATCAGCAAAGAATGGCACAGCTCAAGATAGGTATCTATTTCTGGTGAGTTATCTAATTTCGTTGGAGTACAGTGTTTTCCTATTTTGTGGATACATGCTTTCTTTAGATCATATTTGTGGCTCCTTCCTAGCACTCTGCACACTGTTCGAGAGTAAGTCCCCATCTCTCACAAAAGTATTTTCAAAATAATTTCAACTCTTAGTATGCGTTTGGTTGGGGGGGTTGTTTGTTTTGCCAACGGCCCTCCTCATTATTGCTTATGGTACTAAATAGCTCGTAGAAATTAACAAAATAAGCTCATTGTCACTGCACATGTTGTCATTATACATCACAACCTTAAATAAATGGGATGTGATGAATGTGCACCAAGATCAAGGTCTATCAGTGGCAGCACTTTGGATATTTACGTAATATCAGTGCCATTCGGATGTTAGCTGCTGAATGTTTGCTATAGGTCTCTAGAGGTAAATGTCCATACATAGAAATAAAAGACAGCCATGTGGTTAATACAAAATACAAATCAAAGAGTAGGCAATACTAATAGACCACTTAACAATGTATCCATGTATCTCATGTATCCCATTTGTATCAATTTATTTCTGGTCAAAAGCACCTGAAATGAATCAGAGTAATTTAACACCGGTAAAATTTATAAGAGGCAAACCGCTTCCCCCAAATATTGAACTGATTTCTGAACAACTTTCATAATGAGAATTTTTTTCAATTGCAGTTTAACAGCATGGTATTGTACTGTGTGCCAAAACTGAGACTGATAGGGCAGAAATTCAGTGTTCGAGAGAAAATCGATATTGCAGGATTACAGGTTTGTGTCTTCTTTTCTTGTTTTTCTTTTGGGGTTTGTGTGTGTGTGTGTGTGTGTGTGTGTGTGTGTGTTTGTCAGTCTTATCACTGAAAGACCCTTAAATGGTAAACAAATACTTGTAGCACATAAACAGAATAAAATATAGCGGGTACCTGATAGAAAGAACTTACTGGTGTTATGTATAGAACTGCAAGAAACAAGATAAGGTTGTGTGACCATGCCTTAAGGAGAAGAAACTTTGCACACACAGCAACAGTAGAGACAGCTACTCTTGTTGTCATGGCAGTACCACCAGTGCGGTTGGAAACCTTCTGGGTTTGTCTCTATTACTGGTGAATCAATAAGTGAATGAGGCAGTTTTATACATTACTCCCTCTAGAAGATAGACACAAATACAGTGGTGCCCGACATAGCGACGTTAATCCGTTCCGGATTAATTGTCGCTATCTGGAGACATCGCTATACGGATAGGAAAACCCCATTTAAAACTCCGTTTAATGCGTTCCTATGGGGCGAAAACTCACCATTGAGTGAAGATCCTCCATAGCGCCGCCATTTTCGCCGCCTTGATAAGCGAGGAAACCGCGCGAAAATGCTTGCAGTGGCCATTTTGGTTACCCGGCTGTTCTAAAAACATCACAATGCGAAAATCGGTAAGTGAAACGCTTACCGATCATCGCAATGCAATGTTTACCCTATCTAAACATCGCAATGTGATCGCATTAGCGATCACAAAAAACAGATCGCTATGCGGATTCGTTGTTAAACAGTGCGCTCATTATGTGAGGCACCACTGTATAGTCCAACTTAGAGGTTTTAAACTTCTCCTCATTGACAGTTGATCACAGGTTGCATTCCGTGGAGGTCCACTGGAAAAAGCAGTTGTGACAGTAATATTCTGCTATCCCCCCTTCTTCCTATAGCCCCCCAGTGCCACCCTCAATGCTGTTCCACATTATTTGCGGATTTATTCAGGTCAGAACAGAAGGTTGCTTTGTAGGTTGCTCGAAGGGGAAATCAGAGAAAAATACTTCCACATCCATGTTGTATAATATGATGCCTCTGTGAAAAGGAGGAGCCCTTCCATGCATGGAGATGCAAGTCTGGATACAGCCCACTTTGAGGAGCCTAACAGCCAGTTGTAATTGCTGTTCATGAATTGGTTCATCTTCAGGTGTGACATGAGACATTTAAAAAAAACAACATTTCTCCATGGTGAGAGGTTGGCATTTTTCCCCCGGCTGATGTCAGAGAGAATATATGCATCTTTGATTCATACTGTTGGTAAATGGGATAAATGACATGTTGCATGAGTTAATACAAGTAATTGTGGGTTGTTCATATCTTTGAGATCTGTTAGGTGTCCTTTTGTGTTTGACTATGTGTCTGTGCATAATTACAAAGGATATAGGTGCTAGCTTTTTACAGAAATATTTGGTGCTAATTGTGAAAGTGATGAAAATTACTTGGTGCCTTGATCACAAATAGAGTCAGAATCTCATTGGAGGTTGGAAATTCCTTCTGTGCCAATATGGCCTACCTCGAGTAAAAGCTTGGTAGCATATAATAACGAATTCCTAGTTGTTGCTTTTTTTTATTTAAAAATGACTAGTTTACTCTGTTTTCTGCTATACATTTAGGGGGCTATCTTTGTTTGATAATCACAAAAGTGACTGGAATTAAATTTTTCCAAATACCAAAATACTGGTCTGGTTTTCTAGGTCCAGGAAATTGTCAAGCAAAATGTGGCCCATACATTCTCAATAACAGGAAAAAAGAGATCCTTGGAACTGCAAGCTAGGTACAGATTTTGTTCTGCATATAAGTATTTGTTTTGAAATTTAAAAAGCATTTAGCCTTTTTCAGTTTAGTGCTTTCTAGATGCTTGAGGCTACAACTGTCTAGCAGTCTCAGCCAGTGTGGCTAGTGGGTAGAGAGACAGGATAAAAAAAAATATGCATTACAGCAGATTCTATTACAATGTATCATTAAGTCATATGTTGCTTGTTTGAGAACAGATTGCATACCAAATTCCAAAAATAAATAATGAATTTTCATAATTTGCTGTAGAGATCAACAGAAGAGTGATTTTTTTGCTTATGAAACTGCATGTAGTAAAATCATTGCTAGATATTATGCACTAGACTTGTCACTGTTTTTTGTCCCACGTTGTTGACATTCCAGAAAAGAAAGCAAATATTTGTTTTCTCATTTTATAGGACAGAAGAAGAGAAGAAAGAGTGGATTCAGGTGATTATCATATTTTACTGAGGATGTTTACCAGTTGAATGTGACCCATTTCCAGTTTTTTTAATTGGGCAAATTAAATTGCATATAGGATTTGCAAGCAAATATAATCATTTACAGTATATTACAGAAGTGAGTACACTCCCTCACATTTCATAAATATTTTAGTATATCATTGCATGTGACAACACTGAAGAAATGACACTTGGCTCCAATGTAAAGTAGTGAATATACAGCTTGAATAACAGTGTAAATGTGCTGTCCCCTCAAAACGCAACACACAGCCATTAATGTCTAAATCTCTGGCAACAAAAGTGAGTACACCCCTAAGACTTAGGGGTGTACTCACTTTTGTAGTGACAATGTCAAATTGGGCACAAAGTGTCAATATTTTGTGTGGCCACCATTATTTTCCAGCAGTGCCTTAACCCTCTTGGGCATAGAGTTCACCAGAGCTTCACAGGTTGCCACCGGAGTCGTCTTTCACTCTTCCATGACAACATCACAGAGCTGGTGGATGTTAGAGACCTTGCACACCTCCACCTTCCATTTCAGGATTCCCCACAGATGCTCAAAAGGGTTTCGGTCTGGAGACATGCTTGGCCAGGCCATCACCTTCACCCTCAGCTTCTTTAGCAAGGCAGTGGTCGTTTTGGAGGTGTGTTTGGGGTCATTATCTTGTTGGAATACTGCCCTGTGGCCCAGTCTCCAAAGGGAGGGGATCATGCTCTGCTTCAGTATTTATTTTTATTTATTTAATTTATATGCCACCCACACTGCCCAAAGGTATGTCACAGTACATGTTGGCTTTCATGGTTCCCTCAAACATTGAGGGAATGAACTGTAGCTCCCCGGTGCCAGCCGCATTCATGCAGCTCCAGACCATGACACTCCGACTATCATGCTTGACTGTAGGCATGACACACTTTTCTTTGTATTCCTCACCTGGTTGCCACCACACACGCTTGGTCTTTCAGTTTGTTTCTAAGCTCAACTCAAGATGCTGGTTTTGACCTATAAAGCTCTCCTATCTTCCACTGCCTCCCAGAGTTGGGTCAAATTCATGTTAGTAGCTTCGGTGACACTGTCCAACCATCTCATCCTCTGTTGTTCTCTTCTTCTCTTGCCTTCACACTTTCCCAACATCAGGGTCTTTTCCAGGGAGTCTTCTCTTCTCATGAGATGGCCAAAGTATTGGAGCCTCAGCTTCAGGATCTGTCCTTCCAGTGGGGTTGATTTCCTTCTGTCTTTCCACTTGGGGTAGATTTCCTTCAAAATGGATAGGTTTGTTCTCTTTGCAGTCCAGGGGACTCTCAAGAGTCTCCTCTAGCACCAAAGTTCAAAAGCATCAATTCATCGGCAGTCAGCTTTCTTTATGGTCCAGCTCTCACTTCCATACATTGCTACTGGAAAAACCATCGCTTTGACTTTGCGGACCTTTGTCGGCAAGGTGATGCCTCTGCATTTTAAGATGCTGTCTAGGTTTGTCATCACTTTCCTCCCAAGAAGCAGGTGTCTTTTAATTTCATGACTGCTGTTACCATCTGCAGTGATCATGGAGCCCAAGAAAGTAAAATCTGTCACTGCCTCCATATCTATCTCCCTTATATTTGCCAGGAGGTGATGGGCCCAGTGGCCATGATCTTAGTTTTTTGAGGTTGAGCTTCAGACCTTTTTTGGCACTCTCCTCTTTCACCCTCATTAAGAGGTTCTTTAATACCTCCTCACTTTCTGCCATCAGACTGGTATCATCTGCATATCATAGGTTGTTGATATTTCTTCCGGCAGTCTTAATTCATCCAGCCCTGCCTTTCACATGACGTATTCTGCATATAAGTTAAATAAGCAGGGAGACAATATACAGCCTTGTCGTACATCTTTCCCAATTTTGAACCAATCAATTGTTCCATATCCAGTTCTAACTGTTGCTTCCTGTCCTACATGTGCATGTTAGCAATTTGGTCTCTAGCTCCTCTGCCCCTTCGAAATCCAGCTTCTACTTCTGGGAGTTCTTGGTCCACATACTGCTGAAGCTACCTTGTAGGATTTTGAGCATAACCTTGCTACCGTGTGAAATGAGTGCAATTGTACAGTATCTGGAGCATTTTTGGCCCTGCCCTTCTTTGGGATTGGGATGTAGACTGATCTTTCAGTCTTAGTAGACCACAAACTGAACATGAGTCAGCAGTGTGATGCAGCTGCCAAGAAAGCCAATGCAATTCTTGGTTGCATCAATAGGAGTATAGTGTCTAGGTCAGGGGAAGTGATAGTACCACTCTATTCTGCTTTGGTCAGACCTCATCTGTAGTATTGTGTCCTGTTCTGGGCACCTCGATTAAAGAAGGATGTTGACAACCTGGAACATGCCAAGAGGAGGGCGACCAAAACGGTCAAAGGTCTGGAAGCCATGTCCTATGAGGAGCAGCTTAGGGAGCTGTGAATGTTTAGTCTTACAAAAAGAAGGTTAAGAGGGGACATGATAGCGCTGTGTAAATATTTGAAGGATGTCATGTTGAGGAAGTGAGAGGTTTGTTTTCCATGGGTCCAGGCACTAGGACAAAGAGCAATGGCTTCAAACGACAGGAAAAGAGATTCAGCTTAGGGAGCTGTGAATGTTTAGTCTTACAGAAAGAAGGTTAAGAGGGGACATGATAGCGCTGTGTAAATATTTGAAGGATGTCATGTTGAGGAAGTGAGAGGTTTGTTTTCCATGGGTCCAGGCACTAGGACAAAGAGCAATGGTTTCAAACGACAGGAAAAGAGATTCCACCTGAATCTCAGGAAAAACTTTCTGACAGTCAGAGCTGGTCAGCAGTGGAATAGGCAGCCTCAGAGTGTGGTGGAATCTCCTTCTTTGGAGTTTTTTAAGCAGAGGCTTGACGGCCATCTGTCAGGAGTGCTTTGATGGAGTTCCTACATGGCAGGGGTTGGACTCGATGGCCCCTGTGGTCTTTTCCAATTCTGTGATTCTATGATTCTGTGTCTGAAATGTTTAGTTTTATAATAATAACTCTAAAGAAGTGTTGTCTGCAACTGATACAATTTTTTAAAGCTGCATTTTGTTTTCTTAAGATTTTGCTAAATATTATAGCTTCATTTTGGCTACTTCTCTTCTTGGAATTTTATTCTAGGTCATTCAAGCAACAATTGAAAAACATAAACAGAACAGTGAAACATTTAGGGCTTTTAATACTTCTTTCTCTCAAGAAGATGAACATCTCCCAGACTCATCAGTAAGTGTTGAATGACAATTATTCCTGTGGTTCTTTGTTATAACCATATCACACATTCTGCATTCTTAATTATATGTGTTCATATTACTGTGAGAAACCAATGTGTAACTTTTTTGGACAAATGTATAAATACAAACGCAATCAGATAAATTTATGTGTTTCCAAGGCAAGGTATTTATTTGTGCATATTATTTATATGGTACGTTTAGGGGACCCAAGGTGGCTCACAACAGTTCAAACCATACAAAAACAAGCATTGATCAACATTAAAAATAAATTTTAAAATGTTTTTACAACAGTTCAAACCATACAAAAACAAGCAGTGATCAACATTAAAAATAAAATTTAAAATCTAAATTTCATAAATAGAGTGTTCCCTAGACCCCACTTATTACTTGCAAGCCTACCTTTATTTTTCTCGGGCAACCACAGGGATCCTAGAGCATTGCACTCTCTCGCTCCCCTGAATCCTTCATATTAACAATTCACCCATCGAGATTAGAAGCAGAGAAGAGAAAACTAGGAAATATGCTGAATTAGCAGCTATGGAAAAGAGTATCCTTTGCCTTAGAAATCAACCTTCTTTGCCTTTCATGCTGCAAAGTTGTTAATTCAAGAATTTCTGTACTGTAACTGCAGCACCACTAATTTCAAATCAAGGAAAATGAAGAGGATGGGGAAAGTAAGAAACAAGAGGAAACATTTCCCTTTTAATAAGGAGTCAGAGAAGACTGTGGACCATCACATTATAAAGCCTTTTCTCCATGCTTTTCTCTGTCCTTGGGACACAACTGTGTTTGCTGGGGGAACTGGGCATATCTTCTGGCAGCTACAAAAAAGAAGTGGGGGGGGGCAAATAAAACAAAAGAACAGTGTCCAGCTCTATATGCTGCAATGTAAATAATAATGCTCTTTAAAAATAAAGAGATGGTCCAACTAAATTGTTGAATATATATTTGCATGGAAAACTAGCAACAAACAAATTCCATCTTGGAAATGGTCAACAAATGTGAGCAACAATTTGGTTGGAGCATTTCCAAGGGGGTGGAGGGGGGGGTAACAAGCAGAAATCTGTGTATCCTAGTTTGGACACTGACTAGGTGAGTGCACATCATCCAAACAATTGGGTATGCCCATTACTTTTCAATAGATATTAAAATATATATGTATTATAAGTAATATATTCCCACAATTCAATTCATTTTGAACAGTAACATTTAGTTTACTGATATTGAGTCATACCAAAGTTCTATATGCTGATACAGTCAACAGCTTTCAAACATTTAAATATAATGAAATTGTCATACATGACAACCATAATATTACATTGGATGCAGCTGGAGTATTTGGTTCACTACTCAAATGTGTCATTCAATGAGTTTTTGCACAAATGTGTCATTCAATGAGTTTTTGCACAATATATTGCAAGCAGATCTAATTTCAAGCATCCTTACTGAATAAAATTGATGGGGGGAAAAGGGTGGGAAAATGCAGTAAATTACAGTTAAATGGAGAAAAACTGTTGTAGTATTTCATTTATAACTCCATCCTTTAACCTAATGAGCATATATTGACCAAAATCCTATCAGGTGGTATCAGCCTGCATAATGGGAATGTCAGCAGTGACAGACAGCCACTGAATAAAGGTTTGCTTTTGTGATTCTTAGGTGCATCCAAATTTGTTGCTTTGTGTATGAGCCATGCACATCCTGAAATCACAAAAGAAAATTGTTAAATAGCTGCTGTGGCTGATGTCATTACTATTGTGCAGATGGAGCTGCACAACAGGATTTCAGCCATTCTGTGAGTAGAATTGCTTCCATAATGGCTGAAAAGCCATTCAGGCATTTTATTTTGGCAATCATTGTCTCTAAAAATTCTGTTCTCCACAATCACTTTCTGAAGTGGTTTTATGTATTCATAATATCCTTTTCATAGATGCTATCTCCTGCATCTTGTTAGTGAGCTTGCCAATGTCAGGGGAATATCAAAAGAAATGATATTACATTGATCCTGTCATTCTAAGCCCTCTTGACCAGCATAGGAGCGAATCCTATTCAGAGTATGTCCACATTCAGTGATGTACTTCCAAATCTGGTTCTTGTGGACTTAAGACTATCTTCTCCCCTCTCTCCTGTTGCAGCCCTCTGTGTTACTAACAACTATACAGGAAACTGCAGAAAGGAGAGCCAAGTGTGTTGATTATGGCATAAGCTGTAGGATGCCTGAACCATTAGGGAATGAGGTGTGTGTGTGAGAAAGAGAGAGTGTGTGTGCATGTGTGTGCATGTGTGTGTGTGTGTGTGTGTGTGTGTGTGTGTGTGTGTGTGTGTGTGTGTGTGTGTAACTCTGAAAATGCTTTCCTCCTGAAATTTGTGTGATTGATGAATATTGAATGTGGCCTCAGAGCTGAAATTCTTGTGGCTTTCCTTCAACAGATAGCAAGCACCAGTTCTGTGGAATCTATGCCAGGGACAGATGGGATCAGTACATCTGGAGGGGTAAGCAAGGGTGAAATTGACGCCTTATTGGAGGAAATGTTACTGTGCTGTCGTTGAGGAAGAGATGTGATGGGGTAGGGAGGGAGACTCATTCCAGACATGACAATACTTTAAATATATATGTAATGCAGATCTTAAAAACTATTTTTAAGTTTTACTTAAAAATCCTTTGCTCTTTCACCATTAAAACCTTTACATTTGCCTTATTTGTGAAATATAAATCCTTACACAGGCTTAGGTTATGGCTACACTGGAATTATTCAGCTTTGCTGTCATTTGATTTACAGCCTGTATTACATTTGAAATCACAATCAATGCTCACACAAGGGCTGCAGATTGATTTGGAAGTTCACCGTTCATACTGGATGCAATACAATTTGCATCCCAGCCCTCAGCACCCTTCTTTCCTTCCTTCTTTCCTCTGGCCCTGCTTCTGCCTCTTCTTTCCTTCCTTCCTCTGGCCCTGCTTCTGCCAATCCTTTTATAGGGTGTAAATATGGGTAATATTGATGGTGATCCACTGATAAGGTGACAGTGTTACTCCTTTTATAGGGTGTAAATATGGGAAATATTGATCGTGATCCACTGATAAGGTGACAGTGTTATCTTGTAGCCATTTCAATAGGGGCTCTCTGAGTGGCCCTGGCACATTTGACTGGAAACAGTTCTACTCATACCACCTTATAAGGTTCATTATGTGACTTATCCGGTCCTGATTTGGCCTATATTTTTTTCATGTTGTGTTTATGACCATGCCCCCCCGAAAGTTGAGAATGGCTGATATCCCCCCCAAAAAAAGTTGAGAATGGCTGATTCTAGAGCTAATCTCATATGTGTAAGAAATTATTTAAAATTTCCAGTATTCAGAGGATTATTGAATGAGAGGGAAGAACGCAGATGTGTGTTCCCCCAGTCCTGAATATCATGCCCCAACTGCCTATGTCACCAGAACACCACCTACAGACATGCCCCCCATCATTGCAAGATCATATCTCAGCTAACCTCACAGGAAAAAGCCCATTCAAAACATTCCAGCTTGAAAAAATCGAAGTATCCCAGGAGCAGAGGGAAAAAAGGTTCTTTGGGAGCAGAAAGGGCTGGACCAATTCCAATTTGACTTTGCATCATCTGCTCAGTAAAAAAAATACTTTGAGTTTACCTGTTTTATAAGCAGAGCAAATCCTGTGGTATTTGACCACGTAGTCACAGCCTTAAATAGCTACCCTTCTTTTAAATGCTATTGGGAAAATTATTATTCACTTTGTAAAAGTACGACAAAACTCCTAAAGCAAGTGTAAAGAATAAACTATTATAAGTAGAGCCACTCTACAACAAGTGGAAAATGTACAGTAATTTTTCCCAGTCATTTTTTTCTCCTCAACAAAAGCATGGGAAACCATAGCTCATGTCCATAACTGTGTTGCAGAAGTCTTCTCAGAATCATAAGGTTGGTTTAGATATTCACAGATTTAGGTATCAGATGGTACTTGAAAAGATACTGCTTTCAGCTAAGCTGCCTAATTCAGCACTGCTATGCTTAACATTATTTGACCAACATCACTTGTTGCATGGTTATGCTGGTGGGACAACAGTGGTATAACTTGCAGTAGCAAATGATTGTTAATTGACAAGTTCCCATTCAAATTGCTCATCACATGCCAAACCACCCAAGTGGTGTATAATGAGGCAGGCAGGCAGGAGCTCAGTAATGGTTTCCTGTTGCAAGCTGTGCCAGCATAACTACACAACAGGATTTTGGCCACTCTGATTAGGGATGTCAGCTGATGAAATAAGGTGTGGCCAAGAGATCATTTTTTGAGCTAGGTTTCAGCTCAGTAACTGATCTGCTGATTAAATCTACTTTGCATATGAGTAAAACCATACTTCTGAGGGTGGGAGAAAGAATACATCCCTCCTTTTCAAGTGTTCCATATACGTAGATGTTGCAGGAGACACGATAGTGAAGAAGTTGTTAGCTCCTTTAAGGAAAGAGAAAAATAAAACATCATCTAATACAGATATTATACCTACTGTCAGGAATGGAATAATATATTGTAACATGTGAGATTATGTGGGCCTTTCTTTCTTTCTTTCTTTCTTTCTTTCTTTCTTTCTTTCTTTCTTTCTTTCTTTCTTTCTTTCTTTCTTTCTTTCTTTCTTTCTTTCTTTCTTTCTTTCTTTGATTTATATACTGCTCCTTTAGTGCAAGCACTACTTTGGGCAGTTTACAGTTTTAAAACGTAAAACCCCACATTGCAATATATTTACCAATATGGTGATTAGAAATGGGAGCTTTTTATTCACATCCCTGAGAATGTGCCACAGGCAACACAGTTATGGATATGAGCTATGATTTCTCATGCTTTTGTTGAGGAGAAAAAACCACTGGTAACACAGTTATGGATATGAGCTATGATTTCCCATGCTTTTGTTGAGGAGAAAAAATCACTGGGAAAAAATTACTACATTTTCCACTTGTTGTAGAGTGGCTCTAGTTATAAGTAGTTTATTATTTACATTTGCTTTAGGAGTTCTGTCGTACTTTTGCAAAGTGAACATGAAGTGTAGCACCATAGGTGCCACGGAGGCCCTTTCACACACAAACCCCTGAACCAGCCTGGTCCACTCACCGGTCTCTGCATGGTGCACACAACTGTCCCTCATTAGTGACATTGTGCCAATCATGGAAGTAGCCCAACTGCCGCTTCCCCGCCTACTTGCACTGCTGACCACTCAGCAGCTGAGCAGGGAGTCTCATCATCCGGCCTCCTCACTGGAGTGTTCAGCAGGGCAGAGACAGGGAAGGGGCTGGGCTACTTCCATGGTTAGTGCAATGTCACGACTGCACAAACACAGTGAGTGGACCGGGCTGATTCTGGGGGGAGGGAAAGGGGGCCACCTGTGGTGCTGCACTTCATATTTGTATCCTCAGAGATTCAAATATGAAACTTCCATCTCTAATGGTGATTCATAGGTATAGATTTAAATGTCATCCAAAAAGAGAAAAAAGAAAAAGAAAATAAAAAGATTAAAAATCAGTGTTACTGTATTCAGTGGTCAGTTATTGAAAGCAACTTGGTATAATTTTTCACAAATTTCCTGAACATCAGGAGAAAGGAACCTGACATATCTCAGTTGGTAGCTTATTCCAAAGATTGTGGGTCACCACAGAAAAGGCCTGATTCCTTGTTATTACCTTATTGGCCTCTCTCGGTGTGGCTGCTTTTAGCAACATGGATAAAGAGGCGCAGGTGAAAAGCCGACATCTGAGACAGAGGTTCCAACAAGGGCTTCTGTCTCTGGTCTTTAAAAAGAAAAGAAAAATTTCCATTATTAGCACCACTGTAAGAGATCTCATTCTATCTCAGGCCGAAGCAGCTTTAGAAAGCCTGAAATTGCCTATGCTGCTGATTTTAATGCACTAGCATGGATCATGTCACTCTTTAAAACTGGTCAATCAATGCCTTTAAAGGGCCCTCCTTTAAAAAAAACAGCATTGTAGGCAAAGTGGTCCTGGAGAATGTTGGCCATGGGAAAAAATATCTGCATTCCTACAACACTGGCCAAACCTATTTGAAACTGAAATTATTCTCAAAGCAGCAGCAATACAGGCAACCTCAACAGTTACCTTACCTACATTACTTCACTCTGAGAAAGGACCCCCACTACAGGGCAAGCTCTCTAGACCTTTAAATACTCTTAGCTACAACAGCAAAATTGGCAATTACAGGCAGCAATAGATCATGTGGCAGCAGTTGTGGGGGGGGCATAAAAGCATGAGCTCTCACCCCTCCTGATCCACTATCCAAGTGTTCCTTATGCCCAAATGTTCCTAAGAACTTGTATGTAAACATTTTTACCTTTTAAAATATTGGCTGCCTATTGAGAGTGAATGTTAGAAATTTATATGCCATCAAATAATTTACCAATCAGTTATTTTAAATTTTCAACGTAGCTTGTAGTTTGACCAGCACAGCATTAACAATGCTGGCTTCATAAGCTGAGAAGGACCAAAGATCTTTATGACTCAATCATAATTTTAATAAAACATACCCAAAGGAATGAACCAAATAAGACATGTGGCATATTACCTGCAACAGCTTGCAGCCAAGATAATTTCCCCGGAGATTTGGAAGGTGATCTAAAGCTAAAACTCCCCCCTGCCATCCAATCTACAGGGCCATTATCTTATATGGTTTTGTGCTGTGCTAAATCTACTGCTGGGAAAAGGTATGATTCTGTTGTTACACTCAGTTGGAGAGGTGCTTCAACTGTTTGGAGCAGTTATACGAGTCTTTGCCAACAAACTGCAGGCATGTTGCAGTTTACTTTCTGGCCATGAGTTGTTGCAACTGCAATTGGTTCATAGCAATGCTAGCCATTGTTGCATGGCAACTGGAACAGTCCATCACAGGTATGTCTGCTATTTTCCAGGAGTCAGCTGATTGTGCTGGTGTGTCATTTACTTTTCCATACCATTGAGCTCTGCTGTTCTGGATATCAGCTGTCGCACAATGACCAAGCAAGTGCCTGTAGGGGAAGCCCATAAGCAGAACATGACCCCAGTGTCACCCTATCTCTTGCATTTTCCTGCAACTAATATACACTTAGCTACACAAATAAGTGTGGAGGGACCCTCTTAAAATATTAACAGACAGAATTGCATTGGTTAGTTATGTCAGCGTTACGTGTAATGGCATACATTGCAATGGCAAATGGTCAATACCTAACAAGCTGTTAAAAAGTTACACCTTCTATGCAACAAAACAACAGAATTTTAGCCAATTTGTAAAAACAAATGGAAGTAGTGATTCCCAATAAGCCAATTTTAAAAAGAGTGCCACTTTAAAATACAAAAGTAGCAACAACAACTCTGTCCTTTACATGAAAAACTGTTGAGAAGTCCTTACTAAAATGTTTTGCAGTCATTACATTTCTCCTTCAATTTTAACAATATTCCTAGCTCTACTGGTCTTACCTCAATATGCTAAGTATTTTAGCAAGCTACACAAGATGAAAAAGGCAACTTCGAATTTGCTCACTTTCACTACCACCAAGTGATGTTGCTGCATAAACCTTGAGTAAAAAGACTGTACTAAGACATAAGGTCTAACATGGCACCCTTTTCAGGTACCACTTGCTTGCTGCTTATCAAACAAAAAGTATTATTGATACTGTATGTATAGTCACACATGAGTACAAATGTTAATATTAATCTATCATATAACACTCTTATATATAACTTTAAAAGTTTTATTTAAGAATTTAAAAGAGGCTGTGCCACACTCGGCGAGTGTCAGAATTTATACTTTATACATCGTTATCATCAGTAGACTTAGAATCCCTCTCTTTAAAAACTAAAAGGCATAGGAAAAATCTATTGTATGCCCATGAAATTAGAATTTTTATTTGTTCCTTTTAAACGAATACTTCGTACAACTGAGATAAGCAAAACTCCTATAACACAAAACTTTATAGCCTACTGTATTATTTAATGTTACTTTAGTAATGCTGCAGCACTAGTGGGATGAATGAATGAATGAATGAATGAATGAATAAATAAATAAATAAATAAATAAATAAATAAATAAATAATGGGGATTGCTCAACATCTTCTCTCTGTCTGGTTCCCAGGAGCTGTAAGAGGCTCCTTTTGATGGTGAATAGGGATCATTCCTCCACTAATGAAAAAATTCTAAAGTTCTGTCTATGTATAGCTTGCAACCAGCATGGTGGTGGGAGAGGCATCCCTCCTCCCAGATTCTGAGTCACCTGTCTATAAGATAGACGTGTATACAAAATATGTACGTATTACAAAAATGCATATAAATGTTTGTGAGTGCTTTTTAAAAAATTCACAATCTGATACAGAAACAAGACGTAGTTGACTTAAGATGGGGAAATCAAAAACAAAAATGAAGAGAAATGGAAACATATACATGCATCCACAGCTTGAAGATCCCAAAGAAACAACAATGGTACAACTCGGTTACACAGTTTACACACACTAGCAACAAACTGCTTTGTTGAATGCAAGATTCTCTAATGCCTTAATTATCTTCCACAAGCTTTTATATATATATATATATGCCTAAAATAAATGCTGGTAGCATTTGTAATTATTACTTGGTATAATAACTGTGTGCTTCTTTATGGCTAAGTGTCATGCTAAAATGGTGTCAGAATAGTATATGTGAGAATGCTATATGTAAGAAACATTAGCAAACCTGTTTGTACTTCATAAAGTTTAATTGCAAGGTACTGTATATCTGTCCTTGAAAAAGATGACTATATTTCTCCTTGGGGCAAGAAAGAAATAGAAATCCTACTTAGTTGATTAAATGTTGTTGTAATTTACTGCTTTTGCTGTAATTTATATTATTGAGCAATTAAAAGCCTCAAAACCTCCCTACATCTTAGTATTTAATATTCACTATCCCTGAAGCAAACTCTTTCAGTGGGACAAGCGATGTGTGAGTCTTCGGAATAGTAACTTAGGCTGATGAATGAATGCAGTAGGGACATTGAAGGGTCATAGAGAGACTTGTGTTTCTCCTAACAACTGTCTGTGCCTCCTTAGGGAGACATATACCAAACTGTCAGTATTGCTGTCTCAAATTCTGCCTTCAAGGAAGAATTCTAAGCCCAATTACAGACACTGAAAAACACACAGGTAGTGCCATGCTACTCCTGCATACATCCCGTGTCTCTGCCAGCACAGCAGGAAGTATTCTCTGAGGTAGAAAACAGCTCACATATCAGGAAGGATAGCGAAACCTTCAGCATGTCAACAGACTTTCAAGAAAATCCATAATAGTTACTAAGTGGTGTTCTAGCATGTTCAGTCACTTGATAGAGGTTGTTTAATAGCTGGTCTATTACTTTTGGCTGATAAAAAGTTTTATCAGACAAAGAATACTAGCACACATTGAGATAAGACAGATCTGTCAGTCTTAATGCAGCTTTACTATTTACATGTTTTAAGTCTCTGACTTAGAGATGTAAGCATTTGTCTTTAAATAACCAGAGAGAACTTAGGCTGACGCTTCTTGATTCGCAGTGACCTTGCTTAACTTCATATAAATTTTCATTTTCATTCCAGCCCGAGTGTTGCAGAAAGTCTTCCAAATCAAAGAGAGAAAAGGAGAAGCAAGCTTGCAAAAGTTGCAGTGAAAGTTTTAACTCTATTACAAAAAGAAAGCATCATTGCAAGCAATGTGGAGCAGTGAGTATTGGAAACTTTTCAAGCCCATTACCTTGTGAAACATTCTAATTCTTTGGAAACACGCTTGGTTTGCTTTACAACATTATTTCAAGAAACTGAATTCTTTTAAACTTAATTATGATTTATTTTGAATGTTTTATATGTTTCAATTTAAAAATCACATAAATAGAGAGACGTGGGCCTTAATATATACTTAAATTTGTCCACTCCGATATTCTGGTGCAGATTATAAACTGTCACCCCGAAAGCACTTTGAAAACAATGCAATAACAACTAGAAGCCAAAATGGATTTGTCAAGAAGAAATTCTGCCAGACTAATCTTATCTCATTTTTTGATTGGGTAACCTTCCTGGTAGATGGCAGGAATGAGGTAGACATAATATATCTTGACTTCAGCAAAACCTTTGAAAAAGTGTTCCATGATATTCTGCTTAGCAAACTGACTACGTGTGGGCTGGATAGAATAACTGTCAAGTTTTTATTAATGACTTGGATGAGGGAGTGCAGAGAATACTTATCAGATATGCGGATGAAACAAAATTGAATAGAATCGCTAATACCTTGGAATAGTGTTCCCCAACCTTGGGCCTCCAGATGTTTTCGGACTACAACTCCCAGAAGCCTTCACCACCACCTCTGCTGGCTAAGATTTCTGGGAGTTGAAGTCCAAGAACATCTGGAGGCGCAAGGTTGAAGACCACTGCCTTGGAAGACAGGAACAACATTCAAAAAGATTTTGATAGGATTGACCACTGAGATGAAAATAACAGAATGAAATTTACTAGGGATACATGCAAAGTTGGTCCCCTCATCATGCCCTCCTTCATGCCAACCAAGCTCTGGGACATTAGAATCACTTGTCTGAAGAAGGCTGATTTTCCACTAAGGGCCTGTGTTGCATTCTCAAAATTTTGGAGGACACAGACAATTTGACCCATAATGCCCCACTCTTCTTTGCCCAGAGGATCAGCCATACCAATAAAACTCTCCAGTGCCAAATCATGGGGTGCCCTTTGCTGCTCAAGCACCCTTTCACATAGCTAGAAAATGAAGTTCCATCACATCGCCACATCCTAAATTAGGGGTGCAATGGCAATCTCAATTTTTCTTGCCTTTGCTGCAATAGCTTACTGCCTCAGACACTGTGCTGAAAACACTGTGCCACCTTTCTGGCCTACTCAGTTATACTAGGCATGTGTGTGTCCATACCCTGAAAAGCACACCAAACTATTGAGAGTGTGAACAATACACCCCATTGTTATCATCTTCCCAGCTGTGACCAAGACCTTGCCTTTCAGTAGCTGAACTCCACTGCTTCAGCATGTTCTTCAGAGCCTCTTGCATGTTGTGAGCTGTGTGGCTATCATCCATCATAGCCACATTCAACAGGGCCCAACTGTGTCCTGTCCATATATAAAATTTTTAACTTTATAAAAGTGTGTGCGTGCTGTTAAGTTGATTCCAACTTGTGGTGACCCTTCCCAGTGTTTTCTAGGTAGAGAATACACAGAAGTGGTGTACCAGTCTCTTCTTCTGGAGGTGCCCTGGGATTGTGCAGCTTACCCAAGGCTACACAGGACGGTTCTTTTCTCAAGAGGGACAGTGGAGAATCAAACTCCCAAACTCTGGCTCCACAGACAGATACATAAACCACTGAGCTATAAAAATAGCCAATATTAAAACATCTATTAAACAAACTTAAATATAAATATTTAAATCTGGCACCATCCTGCAGCTTCATTTGGGATGGCAATTAGTAATGGGGGTGCCAGTTCTGCCACAGGCCTATGGGATAGTGTTTTCCACCAGTGAGAAGGGCTGGCCATCCAGGGCTCTCATCTCTCCTAGGTGACAAGTATTCCTGACATTTCTGTGTTTGTAGAAGGCCTTTTCCCCTCTAAGCTCCTCGAGGGTCACCTGAGGTGTGGGTCTGGCACTTGCTGCCTCCCACCTCTTGCTGTTTGCCCATCTACCTCCCTGTCTCTCTGGTGGCTTAACCTCTACTTTCTGATGACTCTTAAAGAACCCATTTGCCCCCACAGTGCCCATTTCATTTGCCAGCAGCAATGCCCCGAGCTGAGTCTTCAGGTGGCTGAGCATGCTACTATTGGAGAGGTGGTGCAAGTCCTTTCCTATAGTTAAGCACCTTCTTGCATTGCATGAACTCAGCCATGTGAGCATCTGTGGCACAGTGTTTAAAATGCTTCCAGATTATTGATTTCTTGGGAGCTTCATTTTATGACTGCATGTTTCTAAGAGGGATTGCTAACTTGTCATCACTACTAGTTCCAGCAGTTGATGGGGTAAGCACAACTGGAGGGGCAAGGGTGATTTCAGTGTCACATTTTTCTGAAATAGGGCCCACCCGAGTCCCTTCAGTCTGTTCCTCCCTCATGTCAGATGTGCATGTATTTCAGGGGAGTTCCCACCAACCACAATGCTGTTTTGCACATGAGAGATTTTCTGGGATTGGGGGCTGGGAGTAAATCCCTTCTTGAATGCGATGGAGGTGCGTCGATATGGAAGGCAGTGTCTGGTGCTCTTCATAAATCCCTTTCCCAGCCACACAAGTGCCAATGCCATCCTTGTCCTTCTCTAGAACGTCAGCTGTTTGGGAGAAAATGTCCCTCCTTAACTGTCTTTTTTTGTTCCTTGCCCTGGTTGCCTTGCACAAAGATGTCACAGGAATGTGTCTGAGGTTCGCACATCTCTATCCTACCTTGAACCAGAGGCTTCTCTGCCACCTCCTTGGCAGAGAAACACACACCGTGTACTGCTGCCTGCTGCTGTTTCTTAGCGTCAGTGCTGAACAAGGCAGTTGGGTGACAGATACTGTTTGAGGGGCTCATAAAAGCTGTTGTAGCCTGTCTTTTCCCCTCTTTGTCTCCCATTCCTCTTAACAGAAGCTGCTGTAGCAGCTGCAGGCAGCATTCCCCAAAGGTTTACTTCTACCACACTCATATTTCACACTGCCTGTGGATTCTACCCAAAGAACAGTATATGATTCTGCTTCAGAAGAACACAACCCTTCCAATGAAAATCACACGGAGATACACAAACAAAATCCTAATGTATTTGTCTCTATATAACAAAAAATTTTATTCTCCTGCCTGAAATACCCCCAAAGGGCCTAAGCCTAAAATAATATTTCCCTATTAATTTATAAGGTATTATTCTATGAATCTACCACTCCTAAATCTTACTCTTAATCTAACTATATTCACTCCTCCAAAAAAAGAAAAAAAAGAAATTAAATTGAAAAAAATCCCTCTGGTTTATGAATGTGGGATATTATGCTTCTGTATGCATGATTCAAAACACCAGGAAATGGCCCAACACTGCAGCACAATATTGTCCCTGTGTTATCAGCAGAAAAAAAGAAGGTGAGCTTTACATAGCAAAAGGCAGTCTGAATGTTTACAGTACTAATGGTGGCAGTCAGTATGATCTACAGAATACCCTCTTGTGCTCACTACCATTCACAAAGTGGCATCAAGCAAGGGAAAATACCAAAAGCTGACTCTTTTTCATCAGTTAATCACTTCTCATCCAAACACAAAATAATTTTAGAGCTATTTTTCAACAAGTGTGAATGATAGTTTCAAAGTTATAATTTTTTTTGTTTGGCCTGCCTCTGGTTTTTTTATTATTATTATTATCTTGTACAATGTTCATGGGGTCACAAAGAGTCGGACACGACTAAACGACTAAACAATAACAACATTCATTTCCTCTGCTGCACAGTAACATAGCTGACTACCATGCATCTATAATTAAGTAAATTAATTAAACAATATACAATGAGATGTAGAGAATGTAAATGTAAGTTGAGGGTTCAGAAAAGGACACAGAGAAAACTGCTGCAGTACAGGCTTGTACCAGAGCATATCCTAATAGCAAATGCTATGGGGGTTTATAAACAGCTATGCCCACCATTCAATTGGAAAGAAAGATATCTTCTGGTATTCGTGAAGGCTTTCACGGCTGGGATCTAATGGCTGTTGTGGGTTTTTCGGGCTCTCAGAGTGCTGTCCTCTGAAGATGCCGGCCACAGAGACTGGTGAAACGTTAGGAAGAACAACCTTCAGAACACGGCCAAAGAGCCCGAAAAACCCACAACAACCATATCTTCTGGTGTCTGTACCTGCATCCAGACTTCATTGGTACAGACATTTCATTTATAGGTTTTGCTCTCAACCCCGTCCCCTTGGGAAACCCATGGCAACCTCAGTTAGGAGACATGAGTTCTCTGCTGCTGCACCCTTTGGTGCCAAAGTGTCTTTAAGTTCAGTTTCTCAAGAAATCACTCCAGGATGTCTGAGTAGTAAGTTTTAGTTTCCCTTCTTCCATAAGCAAGCAGAAACCTAGCTTTTTGCTTTCTCATCTATGGAAGTAAATATGACTCCAAATATTAGCAATTATTATTACAGATGTTTGGAAGCATCAAATTTGGATTTGGATATATTTGGAACTACCAAATATGGCATTACTTGCTGAATTCCAAATATTTCCAAATTTGAATGCATATCCCTAGTGTTTTTTCATTTTCATCTCAGTGCCTGAAATACCTTTACCTTCAGACATAGTGTGAAACCCTTGGAAATTTCAATCATGATACTGCAAGCTTTGTTGCACAGATGCCCCCTCCCCCTTTCTTGTGGTATAAAAAAGCAGCAAATAGGTAGCCATTGACATATTTTACCCTTTTGCTACTCCTGAGGACAGATCCTTGTATGAATTTTTACTTCCTGTCCTCCTCTAACACTTATCTGTAAATACTAAGCTTCCTCACTAGGCGTGGGTTGATATTTGCTGTTCCTTCTCAGGTAACAATAATGGTCTCATAAGAACATAAGAAGAGCCCAGATGGATCAGACCAAGGGCCCATCTAGTCCAGCTGCATATGAGACATCTAGACACCTGTTTCTAGTCCAGCTGCATATGAGACATCTAGATACCTGTTTCCTGATATCCCTCTCCTGCATCTGGTATTTCGAAGTACTTTCCTTTTAAGCCTGGAAATTATACATCCCCACCATGGCTTGTAACCTGTGATGGACATTTCCTCCAGAAATCTAGGCCAGATGCCATCACCATATCCTGTGGCAAGGAGTTCCACAGACCAATAACACGCTGGGTAAAGAAATACTTTCTTTTGTCTGTTCTCACTCTCCCAACACCCAATTTGAGAGGATGTCCCCTGATTCTGGTATTGTTGGTGTGTACACATGAATATGAACATAAAGCCCCTGTGTCCTTTTTTTAGAAAAATAACAAGAATTAGTTATAGGTTTCCCGGGCTGTTTGGCTGTGTTCTGAAGGTTTTTCTTCCTAATGTTTCTCCAGTCTCTGTGGCTGGCATCTTCAGAGGACAGGAGCCAAATAGTCTGAAAAACCTACAACAGCCATCAGATCCCGGCTGTGAAAGCCTTCGCGAATACTTAACAAGAATTGCTTAACTTTTAACTCTATCCACTTCACTTTCCCATGCATCATCTGACTGTATAGAAATCTTTGTGTACTAGTAAGCAGGCACATTTATGGTGATACATATACTGTATGCATTTTACAGGCACTTCACTTTCCCATGCATCATCTGACTGCATAGAAATCTTTGTGTACTAGTAAGCAAGCACATTTATGGTGATACATATATGCATTTTACAGGAAACAGTCTTCTCCAAACCCAAATAATGTTTAGACTTCATCTCAACCTCTCATCTTCCCTCCTTGTAAAGTTCTCTAGGCATTCTGCTGATAAAGGGAAATGCTTTGTAAAAATAAG